ACATAATGATGTTTACTTTATAAGTTTAGGAATTATAATACCTGGTCATGTTGAGCCAAGGATTTATGTGAATTGTTTGCAGAATAGACATGTCATAGAATCATATTTTAGCACCTCCTGATCTGTATATTAGGAATCAATTCAAATCCCCCCCCCCCGACTCTTCCTAGTATGACAAGAAACACTTTTATCTGATTTTTGTCTCAAAGCAGTTGGGAACAAAATTTACACATTTGACAAACATCTTCCTATAAAGTGAAATCAGTTGTGTTTGGCAAAGAGCTTGAAATGGACAAGAGTATCTGACCAACCAGATTTAATTTGACATGAGCTGTGACTTGCCGACACCTTTAGTATTGAGGTAGTCTCCTTTTCTTTAATAGGTTTACTTATGCAAGTATCTACATTTTTTCTTCATGAGCTCTGAGGACACTGAACTGTAAAATTAAACCACATTTCCTCATTTGAATTGCTAAACTTCCTCCTCTGGAGTTTCTGGTGATGAACTACTAGAAGAGTCAGAATGAATAAGCAAAGAGGTTATTGAATGCCTCTTTTAAAAGGGTGTGTCTAAACCATGAGCAACTAATCCGGGGAGGAAAGGCTGATGGGTTAATAGTGTGTGGTGAGACACTGGTCTCTGGATTTCCAACATTGCCAAATTTGTCTCATTCAAATGTCCTTGAGATGAGAACCATGTACTTACACTACAAGTTTCTTTGAAGACTACAGTTATTACTTCCTAAGTTATGACTACCTAACAGATCCACGCAGGAATTATTTTTATTATTTATTTCAACTCTATCATGGTTGCGTTATAAGCTGGTCCTAGTTATGCTATCTAATGAATATTGTTTAACAAATTATAAGAATCTGTAGTTCAGTGATTCTCAACCCTGGCTACACATTAGAATCACATGGGGAATTTAAAACACACACACACACACCTTAGAGACTGGGCTCCTCACCAGCAGTAAAATCAGGATATTTCTGGTAGGTCTTAGGCATCCATGTACTTTTAAAAGCTCTCCTAATCATTCTAACCCAAAGCCAGAGTTGAGAACCACTGGTTTAATGGAACAAGCATATATCATTTGTTGTAAACTGTACTTGGGGATTTTTTTCTCTTATTTGTTTAGTGTTTTGAAAATAGATGGGCTTTTGCAAGTAAATTGAATTTTCTTAGCAAGACTTCTTGTAAAGGAGTTTCTTATCTTAGCTGAAACCTTTTAAGTGTACTTTTGAGAGGTCTCTCCCAGCATCCTTATAATCTTGAAAGAAAAAAAAAATACTTCTCAAAATATTGACACATTGCATTCCAGAAGTTTTGAGTCATGTGCAGGATGAAAAGAAACTCCCTGAAATTCTCTTTGGTTGTCTACAAAATCTACCCTAGAGGATTTTTCAAAAAGTATCCATTGTCCCATTGTAAACATGATACAGGAAACTTAGTTCATTCTGTTCACCTTTTTTTCTAGGCTTGAGATTAATCTGTGCCACTTTTTCAATATGATATTGGCCAAGTATCTGGACCTCTATGAAACTCAATTTGTTTTCTTAATACCATGGGCCTATAATTCCTGACACAGTGTGGATGAGATAGAAAGAAGTCTGTAAATTGTTAAGTGCTATTTAGCAGTAAGCTATTGAATCATATTATTCTCCTAAGAGACTAGTTGATTATCCTTATTTTTTCATTAGTGTAAAGTGTGTCTGACAGCTCAAAAAATATTAAAAAGTGTACATGGCCATATTAAAACAAAAACAGCACTTCCCGCTCCCTTTGCCCCGCCCCTGGAAGATCCAGGCAGCTTCTTCCTGTGAGGGGTGGGGAAGATGTCAGGATGATTCTTAAATTTTCTATGAAACTTGCTCTTTGTCTTTTGAAATGTTTCCCACCCCCAACTCCAGTGCAAGGGTCCATGTCACCAATTGTCCTTGTTTTTTAGCCTGTTTTTTTCTTTTTTTCTTTATTTTTTTGGGAGGGAGGGGCAGAGGAAGACGGGGGGGGAGAGAATCTTAAGCAGGTTCCATGCCCAATAAGGAGGTTGATGTAGGGCTCAATCTCACGACCCTGAGATCATGACCTGAGCTGAAATCAAGAGTCAGTTGCTCAACTGACTGAGCCACCCAAGCATCCCCTGTTTTTTTCTTTTTTACTCAGGAATACAAACTGAAATTTGCTCTGAGTTGTAGAATATTTTGCATATGTTTTGTCTGAATATTGAAACTTGTCATAATCAACATAATATTTTAACATCTAAAACACTATTCATGTGTGGGGAAATGAGTCAAGTTTAAGCAACTGGGAAAATGTGCATTTCTCTCCAATTAATGATGATAATTATCAAAGCTGTATCTACTAATGTTTAAATCCTTTAATTGTTGAATTGAGAGGAATATACTTAAAATTTTAGCTGAAAGATAATGGTCAATTAAATTACAAGTTAAATGTTTTGTGTAAAGAACCTATCTTTAAATCAAAATATGGCTTTCATACAAAAAGTACACAAATCATAAGTGCACAGCTCAGTTGATTTTCACAAAGTGAAACACACCCATGTAACTAGCACTCAGAGCAGGAAAGAGAACATTAATAGAACCGCAAAGTTCCCCTTCATGTTCCTTTCCAGCAAGCATTCATCTAGCATCATAGATTCATTTTGCCTGTTTTTGAAACTTGTGCATAAATTAAATCATATAGTTTATACCTTTCTTGGGAGGGGCAACGATCTGGGCTTCTTTTGCTCAGTTATTAATATTGTACATTTTAGCAAGTTATTTATTATGATCGTTGTACAATAGTCCATTGTTTGGATATCCCACAATTAATTAATTATTCTTTTTGCTTGATGGATATTTTGGATTTCCAGTTTGGGCTATTATGAATCATAGTGCTATAGAAATTACATGTGTCATTTGCTGAAATATGTGTATATTTCCAATGCATGATTGTTCAGCTTCAGTAGCTACTACAAGTTTTCCAATTTACCTTCCTGTTAAGAGTGTATGAGAGTTTCAGTTGTTTCACATTTCTTGGCATCACGTAATATTAAAACATAATAAGTTAAGGATTTGTATTGTAATCTTTAGGGTAACTAATAAAAGAATAACAAAAGAATATATAACTGACAATAAGTAGGAGAATGAAATAATAAGATTTTTGATTAATCCAGAAGAAGGCAAGGAAAGAGTAAAACAATTGAGTCACATAGAAAAGAAATGATAATATGATTGCTACAAATCCCAAATATCAGTGATTAAATGTAAATGGACTACATACTCTAAAGGTTATTGCTTGTTAGACTACATATCTTAGGAATAAGGACACAGGAAGAGTAATAATAAAAGGTTAGAAAAAGGGCGCCTGGGTGGCTCAGTTGGTTAAGCGACTGCCTTCGGCTCAGGTCATGATCCTGGAGTCCCTGGATCGAGTCCCGCATTGGGCTCCCTGCTCAGCAGGGAGTCTGCTTCTCCCTCTGACCCTCCCCCCTCTCATGTGCTCTCTCTCTCTCATTCTCTGTCTCAAATAAATAAATAAAATCTTTAAAAAAAAAAAGGTTAGAAAAAGTTACGTAAGTACTAACCAAAAGAAAGCTGATGTTACTGTACTGATATCAGACAAAGTAAACTTAAAAACAAAAATAATTATTAAAGATAAAGGACATTTTATAGTAAATAAAAGGGTTAACTAGTCCACCTCCTGGTTAAAACGCATGTGTGATTTTTTATGTGCAACCATATGCAACTGCAAAAGCTTTACCTGGCAGGCCTCATGGGGGGAAAGCTGCCCTCCCCAAACCAGACCTGGTACGTACCCAGTGCACCGCAGTTCCTGAAGGGAGTTGTAGTCAAGACTCAGGCCCCTCTGGCTGGACCTCATGGTCTCCAGAGCTGCATTCTCAGCCCAGTTGCCTTCCGTCAGAGGCCTCCCTTTATCAGGAGCCATCAGCAGAGACCTTCCTTAGGTACCTCTGCTGAAACTACCTCAGTAGGAAAAGGAGGGAACCTTGAAGATACTTTTTCTCCACTTTGACTTAGTACTTTTCCACTCTTAGCTCTTCTCCCTCTCCCTGCCCTGAGCCACAGAGTCCACGACACTGCAGGAGCTTTTTGTTGAGGGCTCCTTCAGCAGTGAGCGATTCCCCACCTCTCCGCTGATCCACCTGACCCTCCACTAGCATGTCATTCCATGGGGGAAAATGAACTGGGAAGCTGGTGCTTATTATGGACTCTTGCTTATATTGTCACAGCAAGTGATAAAAGGTTTGACTGTTACTTGCTTTTTTATCTTGTTGCTTTAATTGACTAACTCGGACACAAGGCAGTTCTACTGAGTTCCTGATGGTTAATCCACCAGGAAGCGATAACAATTCTCAATTTTTATGCCTTTAACAACATAGCTTCAAAATACATAAGGCAAAAACTAATAGATACTTAAAATTTATTGAAGGATAACATACACACAGAAAAGTATATAGGTTAAGAGTGTACAGCTCAGTGAGTTATTGCCAAATGAGTATATCAGTAGACCCAACACATACAGCATCACCACTAGCTCGGAAGGCTCCCTTGAGATACCTCCCAGTCACTAGTCCTTGCCTCTTCTCTAAGGGTCACTACTATTCTGACCTCTTACACAATAGATTAGTTTGCCTATTTTAAAACTCTCTATAATGGAATCATCAGTATGTGTTCTTTTTTACTTGGCTTTTCACTAATATTTATTAGATAACGTTTTTAAGCAGTCCCTTTTGGGGCACCTGAGTGACTCAGTCAGTTAAGCATCCGACTCTTGATTTTGGCTCAGGTCATGACCTCAGGGTCTTGAGATTGAGCCCGGGTTTGGGCTCCATGCTGGGTATGGAGCCTGCTTGAGATTCTCTCTCTCTCTCTTCCTCTGCCCCTCTCCCCTGCTCATATCCATACTCTCTCTCTAAAAAAAAAAAAAAAAATTCCCTGTTAAATATTAACTTGCTATCATTATCTTATCATTTTAGGTGTTTTGGAAAATAATTATGAGAGCTTACGTATACTAAATGTTGAAAGAAATGGAAATATTATTTATACCTATAAGGTATGTCTATATTCTCTTTTTTTATTGTGGTAAGATATGTGTAACATAGAATTTACTCTTTTAACCATTTATGTTCTTTTTTTTTATGTTACGTTAATCTTTTTTAATTGAATTTTGTGCTATATCTTACTGAGGGGGTAATGAACCTTTAACGTGACTTTTTTATTTTGTGAGATTAAATAAGGTGATTGAAATTCAGTCTTAATGGAATGTTTTCTTTTTTTTAAATGAGAACTGTATACAATGTCTGACACTCAGACTCAGTGCTCAAATTTTTTGAGTAAATGAACAGTTCCATTTTGCAGAGGAAAAAATGCTAAATGAAAGATGTTTAAATCTAATTAATATGTAAGGTTTTATCTTTGAGAAAATATTGAATTGTGATTACTCAACATCATCTGTTTAGACTTAGGTATGCTCAGACTTCTGAGGCATTATTGTTTAATGTGTGTTTTCAACATTAAGTGTTCTAAGGAATGAAAATGTAACTTTACTGATAACTTTACTATAGTAGAGAAACATGAAAGAATAATTTCAGTGGCCATATTGCTTTGCACAGATGTATTACTGTATTTATTTATTTGCTCAAATGTTATTTTAAGTTGGGGCACCTGACTGGCTCAGTCGGTGGAGCGTGAAACTCTTGATCTTGGGGTTGTGAGTTTGAGCCCCATGGTTGGGTGCAGAGGTTACTTACATAAATAAAATCTTTTTAAAAAGTTATTTTAAGTTGTATTCTACAAGTGTGCTGCATTTAAAGAATTGTATGATTCAAAAAGTTTTATTTACAGGAATATCATGGACTTGTTTTAGCCACTCCCAATCTCTATCATATATATTGTCTTGAAGAAATAAATGGAAGTACAAAAATATTCGCTCCTTTGTTATACTCTACTACCTACTAGACAGGGTCCCCCAGATTCACTAAGCTGTACACTCTTAATCCATTTCACTCTTTGAGCCCATATTACTAGCTGAAACAGGTTTGGTCCCTTTCTGACACGCTACCTTTAGAGTGCTTATTGCTAATATTTATTGAATTATTGCAGGTTTAAGACTAATAACATCCTAACTTCCTAAACAATGATACATAATAAATATCTCGTTAATTTTTTTAAGGATGATAAGGGAAATGTCTTCTTTGGATTATATGACTGCCGAACCAGACAAAATGAGGTAAAAATCACCATAAATCATAGATTCCTCATTAGTATTGCTTTTAGAGTTTTTTCTTCTTTCTGCCTCCTTTTTCTAGATACGGATTCTCATTTCATTTTCTAAAAATTTAGTTTTTATTTTCTTTGCCTCCCTTCTTTCTTTTACCATCTTTAAAAATAAATGAATAAATAAAGTGCAAGGACTCCTGGACCAAAGCATCACCTGAAGTTTCTTAGTCCTTTGAGATTTAAGCAAAACTGGCTCAAATCAGTTATCCAATATTCTGTAGGAATGTAGGAAGTCCAATGCCTTCCTGAGATTTGCGTGCTCCCAGAAGTTTAGGATCTCATAATGACCTTTGGCTCCAAGTTCCGTTTCTCCTTAACTTTCACTTTTCCCTTGCTTCTCAAAGATCCAGGTATAGAACCCAGCTTCCTTTTCTTAATTTTTCCCCACACCACCCACATAGAACATTGGTTGATGTGACAAGTCTTACCTGACTCTTGGTGCAAAGGTGAGGGAGACATTTTGTGCCTGTGTAAAAACAACTTACAAATATGAAGGGGCTAAGAAGTCTATGTACACTGACACAGAAGGATCTCCAAAACATACTGTTATGTGAAAATAAGCAAGTTGCCAGAATAATACATTTCATTTATGTTTAAAAAAACTTGCAAGAAAACATAAATATATGTTAAAAACTCATTTTAAAAAGATCTGGAAGGTTACAGAGTCAGTTACAAACATGTTTCCTTTTGGAAAGGAGTTCATACGGGGTGAGCGTAGCGGAGAGCTTTGACTTTTTATTTGGTGGTGTTGGCATGTTTTAAACACTGAGACTATTCACGTGTTATCTTATAATTAAAAGGGTAAAACACTAAGAGTTAAGGGTATACATCCATGATTCTTCTTACTTGTATATCAGAACCCCTCAGAGCAAGAGTCAAAGGAAACCAAAATGTCTCACATGAATTTAGAGCCTCCTTATTTACTCAAAGTTCACTTTTTCTAATCAATCATTTTATGACTTCTCAACATTTTTCACCAACTTCTGGCCATAGGATTCTAGTGTGTTCTCAGTGCTTTTTTAAATGTGCAAGTACTAATTACCTTCCTAATACTCCTGCTACATGTTTTTTCTCTTAGCCTGTTCTCTACTGAGGTCTAAGACTCTTGATCTTTTCTTACCTTCTGAGGGTATTGTAAGAGTTTGCCTAATATAACTACGATTGTCTTCATTTCCTCAATTTGCATATCAAATCCTCCTTCTGCATGACCATTTTCATTTTCTTTAATATTTAATAAGGAAATGGAATCTTGCAACATTTCAAACAGCAAGAAAATTTTTAAAAGAGTAAGTAAAAACAGAAGATTACTGTGCCAAGGCTCTGAATATAAGAGCCTTACAGGAGTGGCACTTGTGATAGTCTGTTAGACATAATTAATGATATCATAGTTAGGTAACTTGATTAAAACTTTACTTCTCTCAATAATTATAATAGCTGACATCTGAGTGCTTATTATGGGTGGCAGACATTGTAATAAGTGCTTTTTATGGATCATCTCAGTTGATCCTTCTAAGGATTTCATGAAATAGGTATTATGATTTTTATTTTACTGATAGGAGAATAGAAAGATTGAATAACTTGTCCAGGGGTGCCTGGGTGGCTCAGTCGGTTAAGCGTCTGCCTTCGGCTCAGGTCATGATCCTGGGGTCTTGTGATTGAGCCCCACGTCGGGCTCCCTGCTCAGCAGGGAATCTGTTTCTCCCTCTCCCTCTGCCCCTCTGCCTGCTTGTGCTCTCTCTTCCTCTCTCAAATAAATAAATAAAATCTTAAAAAAAAAAAAAAAGAAGAACTTCTCCAAAGTCACACAGCCAGCAAGTGGCACAACCAGAATTTAATCCTACATCTAGCCTGCCTCCAAGGTCTAGGCTCTTAACCACTAGGCCAAGTTGCCTCATGGTTAAGCTTCAGTGCCAACTATGGCCTACAATTGCAAACTTTTTTCTTAAAAAATAATCTGGAACTTCTCGGTATGGATAAACTGGTTAATTGATGGTTCTTTAATAAAATGTCTGGCCACCATGATAACCACCATGATAACTGGGAATTTGAATTCTAAAATTGTTTTTTAACACAAAACTCCAAATTAAAAAATAATTTTGTTTTAATAGCATCTCTATACATTTGAGAAAGACTTGCACGTTGTCAGTTGCTCTGTCAACAGTGAGAGAACTTTGCTTGGTAAGTTGAACTCTTTTATTGCTACATGTCAAGAACTAAACTACATTTGTTGAGTTTGGACTTTTGCAATATTTGACTATTCTACAAAAAGGGTTTTCTGGGAAAAGATGCTCTTGGGAGATTAATTTTGAAATAAAAATTCTGTGGAGTCTACTTACAAAAAAAGAATGCTTTCTGAGTTACCTTAATCATCCACTGACAGATCCTTTGAGCCCTCACTTATTTCAGGTATAAAGTGGTAAACTTCAACCAGCCACTGCATGGATCATCTGCTAATGGATTATTTTTTTTTTCTCTTTCCATTAGCTGCAAGTTTAGTTCATTTCACTAAGGAAAGAAGAAAGAATGAGCTTCAACCAGGTATGACATTATATTTTTTTAGTGCCTATTGAAAGATGAAGATTTATTCACTACTAAGTCAAATTTCAAACATCTTTACAAATTATCTCAGAATGAAAAGGCAAAGGTCCTGTCAAGCATGAAAAAGTGTTGGGTTTTTTTAAAAGATTTTATTTATTTATTTAATTGACAGAGAGAGAGAGAGACAACGAGAGAGGGAACACAAGCAGGGGGAGGGTCAGAGGGAGAAGCAGGCTTCCTGCCGAGCAGGGAGCCCGATGCGGGGCTCGATTCCAGGACCCTGAGATCATGACCTGAGCTGAAGGCAGTCGCTTAACCAACTGAGCCACCCAGGCATCCCATGAAAACGTTTTTTAAATTATTTTTTTTCAAGTAAGCAAGAAAGTACGGAATATAATGTGACAGTGAATAGTAGAAGTATTAAAAAGGCATTTAGCACCTGCAGACAAATAAACACCAAGGACATACTAGAACCCTATGACTAGAAGCTCGTGTAAAAAACGCTGGGAAGGGGCTGATATTCCTTCCAAGAATATCTTTTTTTTCTTACATCGGGTGAACTGTGAATAGTCCGCCAATTCTAAATAAAATTTCTCATTTGCCAGGGCCCACTTTATAGTTTATTATCTATGTGATGCTCCCTCCTTCTTTTTAACATTCCACATCATCCATATGTCCAGAACTCAACAAATAAGTGCCTGCAATGGGTCAGGCACTCTGCATGGTGCTGGGGATAAAATGTTATACAAGAAAGGTGTAGCAGTTGCCCTCATGGTGAGCTATAGAGACTAGTGGTGGGTGTGGGTGCACCATGGGGCATGGTCCCATCTTCAAAGGAGGGCAGTAAGCCCAGTGGGACCAGCTTTTCAGTTTACCAAGAGAAATATGAACCCTTGTGTAAAATTTTAATTTTTAAATGTTGGCTCAAATATTTTTAAGAAATTCTACTCAGGACTTTTTGGCCCTAATTCATTTTAGCCTCAGGAATTTCTTATTTTGCTGATAAACCCAATAGAACCTATATTCTTTACATGATGTTTACCATCTATGCCTGATTGTCATGCAGAACAGTGGCAATTATGTACATTATAAAATGTACTTTCAGGGGCACCTGGGTGGCTCAGTAGGGTAAGCGTCTGCCTTTGGCTCAGGTCATGATCCAGGGTCCTGGGATCCAGCCCCGCATCAGGCTCCCTGCTCCGAGGGAAGCCTGCTTCTCCCTCTCCCAATGCCCTTCTGCCCCCCACTCCCCACCCCCGGCTCATGCTCTCTCTCTCTCAAATAATAAAATCTTTAAAAAAAGATAAAATGTACTTTCAGATGAACTTTATTGTAAGGTTTATTAAATTAAATCCTATTCAGGGGCCATCTGGATGGCTCAGTCAGTTAAGTGTCTGACTCTTGGTTTTGGCTCGGGTTGTGATCTAGGAGTCATGAGATCAAGCCTCCCGACGGGCTCCACCCTCAGCGGGAAGTCTGCGTGAGCTGCTCTCCCTCGTCCTCTGCCCTTCTCCTCTCTCTCTCTTTCTAGGATAAATAAACCTTAAAAAAAAAAAAGTCCTATTCAGATCTGCTTACTCAGTCTTTAAAGCTTGATGCACCTCCAGTGAGATTATCGGATCACATCTTTAAACATATTAGAATGAACATTGTTAGGTGTATCGTATTGGCTTCCTAATACTTTATGTCTTGTCAGTTAACCTTTTAGTCCAGCAGCTATGGTAAGAACCAGCTCTGCACAGACATAATTTGACAGACCGTGCCCTAGCTCAGCTGCTGGGCCCTGCTTCTTGCTTTTTGCCCAGAGCCCTTGGGAAAATATTTACCGCCTACATGTGTGCCACCCGGAAGTGTGGCTGGAAAGGATCCCCGTTAGGACAAGCCATGACCAATGAGGGGCCAAAGAGCTGAAGAATAAATACTCCCCTTTCCATCCCTGAAGCGGATAACTCTGATGTGTCCTCCATGCTGCTCAAAGTTCCAAGGTAGTCGTGAATTTGATAAGGTCCCGCTTACTGGTGTATTCTTCCTGTTTCACACTCCCTACTCCCTCACACCACAGCCCTCTTGTCTTAGTTTGGGCTTTCCCCCTAAGCTGAGTCTGAAGCAAGCATTTGAGCGCAATTAGTTTATTTGAGGGATGATCCTAGGAAGCACTATTAGGGGAGTGTTTAAACAGAGATCTGAAAGAAGGGAGGGAGCAAGTGCGTGGCTGTGGGGAAGGCACATTTCTGACGGTGACAACAGCCAGCACAAAGGTCCTGGGGCCAGAGTGTACTTGGTGAACTTGCTGATAAGGACAGTGAGGAGGTCAATGAGGCCGAAGGAAAAGGGGCAGAGGGGTAGGAACGGAGGCCAGAGGAAAACAGGGCTGAAGTGCAGACAGATCATGGAGACCCTACAAGGCCTTTGTTCAGTTAAGATTTCAGAAATGATGGGACCAGAAAGAACCGTAGACTCTATTATGCTCTTTTATCCTTTGAACAAATATTTTGGAAAACCTTATTTTATCTGCCCATGAATGACCTAATAAGCCATTCAATTATAAAATGTAGTTTGCCTGGAGGTATTGTTTAACACTCTGTTGCTTTATAATGAGATTTTTCCGTTGCAAGTGAGACAAACTGTAACATCTTTCATATGAACAAGATAAGGTTCTTTGGTCCACATACTTTGCAACACAGTTTTTATCCATAGTGCTTCTCTTCTTGGCTGTGGCCATGGCAGATTAATGTTTTGTTTAGGACATAGTAAAAGAGAAGTTGTCTGGCTGGCTCACTCTGTAGAACATGCAGCTTCTGATCTCAGGGTTGTGAGTTCAAGCCCCATGTTGGGCATAGAGCTTACTTAAAAAAAAAAAAAAAAAGAAAAGAAAAGAAAAAGGGAAGAAGAAAAGGACCTAACTGCCCCCTTCACCCTCCCCCATGGAGTTGCAGTTGCCTCAAGCACAGCGCCTCCCCCTGGGCAGCTATGGGGATGGCCACATGTGTTGGCCGCTGAGACTCCCAAGGCCCCCTGCACTAGTGTAGTTAAGTGCTGCCGAGGCTCCATGGAGCTGTGGATTGTTTCAAGAGCTCCAGTAACGAGAGCTGCTTCAGAACCAGACCCTGCTAGACTCTTCCAACCTTGTCATCATTCACAACATGTGTCTTCACCTGCATCAGACTAGATTCTTTTGTAGACTCTCTACTTTCCCCATGCCATGCCTGTCCTTATGCTTTTTTTAAAAAAAAATTCTTGTTCAATTTATATAAACTAAAAAAACCAAAAAAAACCCAAAAAACCAGTTCACTTGTTTCTCCCTTTCCCCACCCCCCACCTCTTGTAACTGCCAATTTGTTCTCTGCATCTATGAGCATGGGGTTTTTATTCCTCTTTCCAGGAATCTATCCGTAAGAGAGATGATGATATGGTATTTGTCTTTCTCTGATTTCACTTAGCACAATGCCCTCAAGATCCGTCCAAGTTGTCACTTTTGCTCCTGCTGTCTCTGCTTTCTGTGATATCTACAAGATGTGGCGTATCCTGTGGTGATGCCCTCCCAGGCTCCACTGACATCTGGATTCTCGAACTTCTTTTTTTTTTTTTAAGACTTGAGAGAGAGAGAGAGCACAAGCAGGGGGAGCAGCGGGCAGAGGGAGAGGGAGAGGCAGGCTCTCCACCAAGCAGGGAGCCTGACACGGGGCTCGATCCCAGGACCCCCAGACCATGACCTGAGCCGAAGGCAGACGCTTAACGGACTGAGCCACCCAGGCGCCCCTGGATTCTCAAACTTCTTAAGACAACTTTAAGCACTTCATGGAATCACGGGATTTCATGACTGAAAGCGATTGTAGAAGTGATCTGATTCTCTAGTTTTTTTTTTTTAATAACAAGGCACTGAAAAAAAAATAACAAGGCACTGAAGCCTAGGAATGCTTTGTCCTTTCTGAAAAGTGTCTATTAGGTTAGCAGCAGAGTGTAAACTAGAACCGATGTCTCTAGAATCCTAATCCAGAGTTCATCGAATTACACCATGAAAGCACATGGTATGTTACTGAGAGAAATTCCTGTTTACATGATTACTCTTATCATTATGCTTATTATATTAGTTAGGTGCCTGGGCTGTCCCAAAAAAAGGAAAAATTAGTGTAGGAGGATGGCTTCTGTCCTTGAAAATCCTCCCATTTTATTTATTTATTTATTTAAAGATTTTGTTTATTTGACAGAGAGGGGAAGTGGGATAGGGAGAAGCAGGCTTCCCGCCAAGCAGAGAGCCCGATGCGGGGCTCGATCCCAGGACCCCGAGACCATGACCTGAGCTGAAGGCAGACGCCCAATGACTGAGCCACCCAGGCACCCAAAAATCCTCCCATTTTAAAGTCAAGTGAATTTAACTGAAAGCTGGTTATCAAATATCAAAGTCTTAACTATGAGGTGATTCTTTACTCCTTTAAGGAGAAGATTCCCCTGCCTGTCCCATAAAAAGTTTTTGGTTTTTTTTTTTCCCAACTTGGGATATATAAACTTTTAGGTCAAGACATAAAATAGTCAAATGTCAGCTTGTACTACTTAATATAGTAACTTTAATTATTTATTTATACACTTAATGTAAAATAATATAAAAGGAAAATCCTTTTTTTCTCATTCTCACGTTTCACGAAGTATTTCTATTTTTCTTCTCAAATATCTTTGACACCAGTGTCTTTCTTTTAAAAAAAAGATTTTATTTATTTATTAGAGAGAGAGAGAGAACTAGCACATGTGAGTGGGGAGAGGAAGGGAGGAGGAGGGAGAGGGAGGGGGAAAGAATCTCAAGCAGACTCCCCACTGAGTATGGAGCCTGATGCGGGGCTCAATCTCACGACCCTGAGACCATGACCTAACCTGAAATCAAGAGTCAGATACTCAACCCTCCGAGTCACCCAGGCACTCTGACACCAATGTCTTTCTTATTCCTAGAGACTTTTTTTTTTTTTTTAGTTATCAAGCAGATTCCCAAAGCTCCTCACCTTTACCTCTGTCCCAGTTATTAGAAGTATAGCCCTTTTGAATTGGCATATGATCCTGTCACTTTGATTTTTATCCTAAGTTCCAAGTACCCTTGACCAAACAATATTTGATTTTCATTTGTTCTGTCCTTGTATATTTGGGATCCCACATAGTAACTCACTGTCATGCTTTTTCAGTAATCTTTAAAAGGCATGTTCACAGAGATGTCCAATGCTTGCAATTTTAAGACCACATCATTTGCCTTTATTTGCTGTCAGGTTAGTTTCTTAGATAGTGAAAATCGGCATTGACTCAATTCCAGGCTGCTGTGCAGTCCTGAAATTGTACATTATTATTCAAAATAAAGTCATTGAGAAAGCACCTGAGAGTATTAGTCTTTGTAAGAACTCAGCTCTAAGGCAACTCCGTATGTGAGGTTTCATCTTGGGGGAGGGGAACTCTTGGTCTAAATCTGGATATCTGTGGTGATCCCGTGCTAGCCTGTGTCCAAGGACTTCCTCCTCATTGCTATCTTTTATGACATTTGCTGTAACGTGACACTGAGGAATTAAGTGGGTCTTTATCAACGCAGCTCCACCACCATCCCAGAGGGAAGCCAGGCCCCTGTCCTCTTCAGAGGTGCTGTCATGGTCATGTATCAGAAATATCTTTATATTTTCACCCACCAATGATATTGGTCCTTGTGCTGCAGAATTGGGAGTGATAGTGAATTGAGTTGTGTTTGCTTAGACTTAGAAGTCCAGAGGGACTGTGAGGCTGTGCTGAGGAATGGGCAGGCACTTGGTCCTCACTCCATGTATATTGATTTCTCCTTCATGAGGTTTTCTTTATCTGTTGTGGGCTTTAAGAACTGTCAAAGTAAATTTTAAGAAAATTACTTTTCCTGGGGCACCTGGGTGGCTCAGTCGTTAAGCGTCTGCCTTCAGCTCAGGTCATGATCCCGGGATCCTGGGATCGAGCCCCGCATGGGGCTCCCCGCTCAGCGGGAAGCCTGCTTCTCCTTCCCCCACTCCCCGTGCTTGTGTTCCCTCTCTCACTGTGTCTCTCTCTGTCAAATAAATAAATAAAATAAAATAAAATAAAAAAAGAAAATTACTTTTCTTGTTGGAAGAGCTAATACAATAGGTAACGTATTTACATTTTCAAAATTCAAACCTAAGGGGAGAAGATAACAAAAGACATTTTGGTCTTCATTACTAAAAGCCTCCTTTCCTTTGTAGGATCAAAGTGTTTAACTTTGTTGGTTGAAATCCACCCTGTTAACAACGTGAAGGTTCTAAAAGCCGTGGATAGCTATATTTGGGTGCAGGTAAGCACGTTATCATTCATCTCACTAATCAAAAGGCGTGAAACCTGGAGGCAATGGTGCTTACAAAGTGTTTTCACAGCTATTATCACATTTAATCCTCAGAGCAATCTCGTAGATGGGTATGGCTGGAATTATCCACTCGTCCTTTGCAAACATGGAAATCAAAACTCAACCTAGCTTCTCTGTCTCTATTATATCATGGTTTGTCTGATAGTCATGTCATGTTTTTACATGATACTGACTCTCAACACACATTTAAGGTAAGTTTAAAAAATGGTTTATTTAATGTACTCCTATAGTTGACAGAGTCAATAGAAATAAATGGCTTAATCCCGGACTTTATCAACTCCATGAAAGGATACAGAGGCACCGTGCGTCCGGTGTGGGTGGGCCAGACATAGTCCGTCTTCATTACTTGCACGCTCTGAACTTGTGAACTGTACTCCTCACCAAAATCTATTTGTAACACCAAAGTCAATACTCACAGTGCTTTTATAGTCAGTCATCTGCAGGCATGTGCGCAGTGGTGAAAAATTTGTCACCTAGCTGAGGCTGAACAAGGTGGCATTGCCCTCTTGGTTCACCTCTCACGCTGTAAATGGATGTCGTTTTCACGATCTCTTGAGTGCCATGATCTTCACATTTGGGGGCTTTTCTTTGGTGATTTCACTATTTCAGATGTTCCCCACACAGAGCGCTCAAGTGCTGTCTAGAGTCCCTGAGCACAAGAAGGCCGCGCTGTGGTTTATAGAGAAAATATGTGGGTTAGATAAACTGCATTCAGGCATGAGATTACGGTGCTGTTGACCATGAGTTCAGTGCTAAGGGATCGACAATGTATATTAAATAAGGTGTCTTTTTTTTTTTTTAAAGATTTTATTTATTTATTTGACAGAGACACAGCGAGAGAGGGAACACAAGCAGGGGGACTGGGAGAGGGAGAAGCAGGCTTCCCGTTGAGCGGGGAGCCTGATTCGGGGCTCGATCCCAGGACTCTGGGCTCATGACCTGAGCTGACGGCAGACGCTTAACGACTGAGCCACCCAGGCGCCCCAAGATGTCTTTAAATAGGAACCCACTTGAAACAAAGTTATGTACTAACTGGTTGATACAGATCCTTGCATTTCCCTTCAGTATTCCGGGCGTGGTGTTTGTGGCGATCCGTAGACTATGCAGTGCTGGAGCATGACTTCCTTGCGTAACCTGAACAATCTGCTTCTCCTCCTTGGCAAGCGGAGCTCCTAGGCCGCATTCCCCCTCCCCCGGGAAGCTGCTGTGTTTACACTGTCCTCAGTACTGGGGTGACTTTGGGACAGACCATACTTCCCTTTTCTGTCCTGTTCTTTTGGCTTCCTTAGCATCTCCATCCAGGGCTGTGTCCGGCAATGGAGAAGTTATTGAAGGATTGGGGCAGCTAAAGAGAATTAGAGCACAGGAAGGGCAAGAGTTTTTATAAGTACATGGTTGCACAGCATGGCGAATATTTTAACAACTACTGAATTGTATATTTTAAAATAGTTAAAAAGGTGATTTTTCTGTTACGCAAATTTTATCTCAATTTTTTAAAAAATTAATAGTACATGATGCATGACTGTTTCCATAGGCCAAAGGGAAAGTCCCCGCCCACGTGAAGTAATACCTGTCCTTGTCTTGTGGACCCATCTCTGTTCCTAGCCCTGCTCCCTGCTCCTCATGCTTTTTCTTCTGGGGAGGGAAGAATCTCACAAACCTCCATCCAGGGCAAACCCTCACCTCCCTTTCCCCCACCCTCTCCCCTTTACAGAAATGCCATTCGCTGTCCACTGAGTTTGGTCTTGCCCTGCAATCTGTCTGCCTTTTCTTACCAAAACATTCATGGTGATCTCCGGTAGTACATTTCCCCAAGTCTGTATGTGCAGCCTCGACCGCCTTCACAGAGGAACTTCAGCAGGACAGTAGTGGGTGGGGTTTGGATCCCAATCCGGTCCCTTTTGAGAATTGCCTACCAGCATGACCTGCATCTTCCAAATAGTTCCAGATATCCACCTATAGTGCATATCTTCCAACTATGAATATTAATCATCAGAGTCTAGCTCCATATTTGTGAAGATAAATATTCCCCTACTATGATGTAATCTATATAGATTTCTACTGACACTGCAAAATCAAAACAAAACAAAACCTTGCATATTTTTTGCTTTTGTAGAGCTGTGTTTGAAGCCTCTCTTTCTATAGTCTTCCAGGCTCTGCTCTAGGGCTGCCTCATCATAGAAAGGAAAACCACCACTACCTAAATGGAACTTTTAAAATCATGTTCTTACTCATTGCCACACAAAGACCAGGCAAAGGTGTAGAATGTCAGCACCTTCCTCCAGGTCACAGTCCTAAGCAAGCATGCTTTGGTACCTCTGTAGTCCCAAGGGAGGTTGAATCGTCTTTTGTAGGAATTTCTTCTTATTATGAGGCACTGAGCATTTGCTCTTCCATTATCCATATGGTGTCACTCAGCTTTGCTTCTCCTCGACCCCAGTACACACAGTTTCCTGTTTGATGTGCACAGTTTCACAAATCAGGACATAATAAGTTCTTCATTATTTTCATAACTGAATTCTGCATTGTTATCTTTTATAATTTTGAAGTTTTTGCTGTGAAGAAATGGTGTATAGTTAATGTTTTGTTTTTCGATTCTAAGAAGGAAACTTGACAACAGACAATTTTTGAAAAATTTACCAGTTCTATTTCCATTTTGTCAGTATGAAAAGTTAGGACACCAGGTAATATATTTCGTCAAAATTTTTCCTAGTCTTTAGAGAGGCTGCTGACTATAAAGTAGGGACATAAAAGGGTTATGTTCTTTTGTCATGCTTTGAAGTTTGGAGGGAAAAACCAAAATTCACTGGTGGATCCTTTCTAGTAAGCTTTCACGTTACAAAACTTTACTGCTGAATTATAATTACCCTTTTGATGATGAAAGAATTAAGTCACGGGAGTCACCCCATGACCCCTTATCACAGCTCATAGCATCAGGCCTGTGTTGCTGGCTGGCTGCTTTGTCCTGTGGGCTGGCACATATGGGAGAGCACAGAGAAGGAGGAGTGGGGTGGATCAAGCCTTTTCTTCCCAGTGGCAGTCGTTCTATTATTCGAGGCTTATAAATCCTCCACCGCATGCCACACTGTGACTCATTGTTCTTTCTTGGAAAGTCCCGCGTTACGTTGTGCTTTGTCTCTTCGATGTGGGACTTTGGAAGCTGTAGTAGAGCATATGTTTACTTGGTTGTCAAATTAAATACGAGGTTTAGTTGCACAACAGGTGTATTGATCACTTTTTTGGTGCATGTGGAGAAGAACTTTTATATAGCTGTTGTTTATATTGTTTCTGATTGGCTTCAGAATCACATATTCTAAAATAGAAAGCACCATCTCTAGAAATAGCTTCTACTTTAGCCTTACTGTGGAAATGAATTATGTTGGACCTGCCATCAACTTCCCCCTGGGAAACTGAGCCCCTGAAAGTGTTTCTTTTTCCTCTTTGCTTCTGTCTGTAATGTGTGTATATGTGATTTGCCTAAACTATTCTATGGTTCCCAGTATCTTCCGTGGTATGTGGTAGTACAGTGATCAGAAACTTTTGAAATATTTGTGTAAGCAAGGTAGTTGCTTATGATTTTGATTAATTTCCTTTTTACAGTTTCTCTACCCCCATGTGGAAAGTCACCCTCTTGCAGAGAACCATCTGTTACTGATTTCAGAAGAGAAATGTAAGTGTATCTTTTAGGTGGTATATATGAACTTCATGAAGGGTTCATCTCTTAGTGAAGTATGGGACTTGACTGAATCTTCTAGATGTCCACTCACCAGTGCTAAAGGTCCAACTGACCTTTGATGTCCACTTAAGGTCTAGCACTCCTGTGGAAGGGCTTTTCATTCTGCCCCCACTTGTTCCCTTAGGCCCTGCTCTGTGTCCCCATCCTGGGAATGATGGGCTCCTACATACATGGATTTCCACTTTTGTCACATGGTAGAGTGTAGGACAGTTGTGGAGGCCATTTTTGCCTTCTTTAGTTCATCTTTCTTTAAGGTGTCTGTCGCCTCAGATCAAAAAAGGGGAAGGTATTAGAAGCCAGAAGAATTTGATGGTAGAATTTGAAGACACATACTTGGTCAAATTCAGGTAGAGACAAATAAGAATGGGACATCCCTTAATGAAGTTTACACTTTTGGGTGGGAAGGGTGGCAGAGAAAGTTCAAAATCCATTGGCAGATCTTATCTAGTAAGCCGTCTTTCATGTTACAAAATGGGACTGCTGATTTATAATGGGAAGGACAGGCCTGAAAGGGTTAGGTTTGTGTTCAGTGTCTATGCTCATGACCAATTATCTATCTCACATTTTTGTAACTAAAACTGGCAGAAGGTTAAGTATGGCCAAATCTAGATTGCTTACTGAGAGAATGGGACCATACAAGAAGTGCTTGGATGAACTCTGCCCAATGAACCCCTGTTAGCTCCAAATAAGACTATTTGGTGCAGGGAAGATGGTGCGGGGAAGGCCAACATTTGAGGGAACCCAGGGGAGTAGAAGGGCTAAATGCTTCATGTATTGTTGATATTGAAGGGCAAAGTAAATGCTGGATTAGCAGTAGACTGTGGAGGGAGTCTGGAGAAAGGTGGGTTTTGTTTTGCACTTAGATCATGAAACTTCTGTGTGTGATAATACTATCTTTCCAGCTAATTGATTAATCTGTATTGCTTTTATAAATAAAGATTCACCACTGTTAGGTGTAAAAAAGTGCTCATGATTTTCGTAAAGGTTAAACTGTCTTTCTGTTGTTTCTTTTTTTAAAGATATTGAGAAAATTCATATCCAGGTCACCCAAGAAGATGGCAATAGAGTGGTAAATATTTGAAATCTCTTTTGTTTCGGAGTTTTTTCCCCACAGTGACATTTCGAGACTGTTAAGGATAGTTATGTTATAGACACAGACCACTTTCTTTATTTGATGTCTTACAAATTATAGGCTTGCTGTTGTAACATGTGAAATAATACTAGACGTATGAAGGAGTTAATTATCTCCTTTATCTTGACCTCACTCTCCAATCTCAGTCTCATGAGATAACTCATGACAGCCTTGTGGAACTCTTTCCACACCTTTACCTTGCTCATACACACGTACACATGGTTAGGTGCGCATGCGCAGATTCAGTCATTTTTACCAAAATAGAATCATAATATGATTATTAATTGGCCATTTTTGTTTTTGCTTTTTACTTAATATATCAGGGATATCCCTATAGGTTTTTAAATAGAGATAGAACTTTTCCCCCTAATTTTTAGACATACATAGAATGGGATCATATGGGGATTCATATAGTTCAGTTTTTTTTCTTTTTTTTTTTATTGCTTATATTCCACTTCTCCTTGCCTTTTCACCTCTAATTTTTGTCTATAACCTATTATGTCTCCTTTCATGCACTTCTCTGAACCTATGTATTTTCTATCCCCACCCCTGACACACCCAGGGGTTTATTATTCACTCCTTCCTCATTCAACTTTGTGGCATTACCTACAAGTCAACCAGAATAGGTCAATTCATTCTTTTTCGAAGTACATAATAGTCCCTGGTATGGATGTACACAATTTCAATCATTCTCCCATGGGTGGACACTCACTGGATTGCCACTTTTTTTTTTTTTCATCTTTTTTGTGTTACAAATTATTTCCAAAAAATTTTTTTTAAATAGCTTTACATTTTTGGTACACATATTTCTTTAGGCTAAATCCTCAGGGATGGATAATTGGGTTGACAGGTATAGCATTTAATATATTTCAACAGATTTTGCTAGCTTGCTTTCCAAAAAACCTTGTAACAATTCACAGTTGTACAAGCAATGTGTAAGAATACCCTTTCCCTCTATCCATACCAGTCATAGATGCATTTGCCGTTTAAAAAAAAAAAATCCAATTTGATGAGTGTTAAGTTGATAACATTATTATTTTCATTGGTATTTCTGTTAATATCACTGGCTGTGTGAATTTGTTTTTCTGAAAATTGCTTAGTTATATCCTTGTCTATTTTTCTGTTGGGTTGCCTTTTTCTTGACAGTTGGTGTAAGAGCATAATATATTACTGATATTAAAAATTATTTCCTTTAATATTTAAATAGTTGGCATCAAAATAATCCTTCTCTGAAGATTTTAATTTTAAAGTTAAGTGAAGAACATAGAAATGGAAAATGCATTTATTAAATATGTATCTCTGATTGAAAGCCTCAAATCAAGATGCCTGGCTGGAAAATGACTAGAAAGTGTGTGGCTGGAGCTCTGGGCCACCAGTGGCATGATGGCAGGGCACAGATGGTGGGGTACGGACAGGGCCTGGGGTCGGAAAAGAGTCAGACTAGAGAGGAAGAATGAAGGCAGAATCCCAAAGCCAGCAATGTGGATTTAGAGGAGCGAGTCCCATAAACATTTCAGGGTCAGTGAAATAAACAAGCCCAGGAATGGGTATAGACAGAGGACTGGCTGGTTAGAAGAGGGGCTGGGAGCCATGGAGATACTGCAGAGTGTGGCCACCTGTCAGCAGCCAACACAGAGTAGCCTCAGCACACCGTCATCCTTGCCTGCCCTTCTCTGAAGTATCGCTGTCCTCCTCCTCCTTTTTTTTTTTTTTTAAGATTTATTTATTTATTTGAAAGAGCACACACATGCGAGGGAGGAGCAGAGGGAGAGGGAGAGAAATCCTCAAGCAGACTCCCCACTGAGCACAAAGCAGGTGTGTGAGTTGATCCCAGGACCCTGAGATCATGACCTGAGCTGAAACCAAGAGTCGGATGCCTATGGAGCCCCCCAAGCACCCCCACTACTCTTATTCTTAAGGACTTAGATGACAGCTTCTTAAGGCAGTGTGCGGTTCCATGCATTCATAACAACATCCTGTGGTAGGTAGGCAGTGTTATAATTATCCCCATGTTTACAGAGAATGCAACAAGCAAGGCTCACAGAGGTGAGGGAACTCTAGAGAGGGAAAAAATTGAGATGTGAATCTGGGTTGCCACACTCTGATGATCATGTTTTTGTCAGTATATACCTTTATCTGAGAGTCCCCAAATCTGTTCTAATTTAACAAATTTCAGAAAAATGGAAACAAGATATATTGCCCAAAGTTTAGAATCTTATTGAGAACAAAGGTTGAGAATATAAAGGTGTTGTAGGAGAGTGCATACTCATCGGGGTAGACTTATAACATTAGTTAAGTATGCCAGAGTACCATAGGAATACAGAGGTGGGGAGCTGTGCCTTGAGAGGAGGTGAGGGAGGGCTTCATACAGGAGGCAATGCCTAAGTTGGGTTTTGAAGGATGGGCAGTATCACCATACTCATTGTGGAAGACCTAAAGGTAAGAAGCATGACCAAAGGCACATGAATAGCTTATGGCAGATCTGGGGGGCAGTGCTCCCCTATCCCCAGGCCTGAGTTTTTTCCTTGGCGTCACAGCTGCTATTTTTGGTGGTGAAGCCCTTTTGTCTGCAGATACCTGAGTGGGTTATGTACGGAATGGGAAGCTTTGAATCTTCTGTTGGCCCTGGTGTTGATTTGTGGTAGGTGTGGTCTTGCCTTCAACAGCCCCATCCTGTCTGGCTAATTAGGGATAAGAATAATATAGTTCTTTATAGAGTGTTTGGAAAGAGCAAGTAATTAAATAATGCCTTAAATCTTTTTCTGGAAAGACTTTCCATGTGTATGTGTTAGGGGTAGGGGAATGCTAAAAATAAACTGTGGAAATATTTATATATATTATGAAGATAGAATAGGCAAAATAATAAATCCAGAAATATTCTCCTTTAAAATAGTTGCTTATCTCTAAAATCTCTTTGGCTCTTTAGGTACTTAAAGACTCTGGCCATCTCCCAAGAGAGAGAGTAGCTGAGGATTTTGTTTGGGCTCAATGGGATATGTCAGAGCAGAGATTATACTACATTGACCTGAAGGTAAAAACTAGTCCACTGGCCTCCTTTTTACCGGTACAACTTAGCTTTGACATTACCATTATTATAATTTATTAATCACTGCATTTTCGTTGATGGGGACAATCAATGAAAGTTTATTAAAAATATGAAATATTTTCATTACTGTTTGCCTCGTGGTTGCTTCCTTTTCTCTCTTTCTTTTTTACTAATGTTTTTGTTGATCTTTTATTTTTATTGTTTTTTAAAGATTTTATTTGGGGCACCTGGGTGGCTCAGTTGGTTAACCGTCTGCCTTTGGCTCAGGTCATGATCCCAGGGTGCTGGGATGGAGCCCAGCATCAGGCTCCCTGCTCAGCAGGGAGCCTGCTTCTCCCTCTGGCTGCCACTCCCCCTGTTTGTGCTCACTCGCTCTGTCAAATAAATAAATAAAATCTTTTTTAAAAAATATTTTATTTAGGGGCGACTGGGTGGCTCAGATGGTTGAGCGTCTGCCTTCGGCTCAGGTCACGATCCCAGGGTCCTGGGATCGAGTCCCGCATTGGGCTCCCTGCTAGGCGGGGAGCCTGCTTCTCCCTCTGCCGCTGCCTCTCCCTATCTCTCTCTCTCTCATGAATAAATAAATATAAAGAAAATATTTATTTAGAGAGAGAGCATGTGCGTGCATGCACATCAGCGAGGGAGGGGCAGAGGGAAAGAGAGAACCTCTAGCAGACTCTGCACTGAGCACAGAGCCCGACTCTGGGCTTGATCCCATGACCCCGAGATCATGACCTGAGCTGAAACCGAGAGTCGGACGCTCAACTGACTGAGCCACCCAGGCTCCCCTGTTGATCTTTTTTTAAAGATTTTATTTTTTTTAAGTCATCTCTATACCCAACGTGAGGTTCAAACTCACAACCCCAAGATCAAGAGTTGCACACTCCACCACCTGAGCCAGTCACGTGCCCCTTTGTTGATTTTTTTCTTTTTTGTAATTTGTCATTTATTCTGTTTTCTCTTTTAGAAATCAAGGAGTGTCTTAAAATGCATCCAGTTTTCTGCTGATGAGAAGTTTAACTTAATGGTAAGTCCGGAGAATGATTGGGCTATAGGAAATTTTATAACACATGGCCTCCTTTTAAAGAGAGCTGTTACCAGAAACAGCATTTTAGCATTCTCGTGTTCGTCACTTGCATGAGCAAGTAACGTAGTTCTTGTCATCTCGAGGCTTCAACTCTATAACAAATACAATTAACGTAGGTGATTCGAAGAGCACACAGGAAATTTCTGCTAACTGAATGCCTCTCATTAAAGACACAAGCATATGAGTGAGGATTTGTAGAAGGTAATAGGTATGGTCTATAGTAGACAGCTTTAAGTGGTTACAAGTCATTTGAGCCAAAAAGACTTGTGAGGATGGTGGATTTGAGTGTAGGGTAAAACGTCAATGAGAGTGTATAGTCTAATTAGTAAAAATCTAGCATCACTCCTGGCAAAGCCGTTTGGAATGCTAGTCTTGTAGTGAGGAATCCTAAATATCTTTACCTGTGATGAAGAGAAAGTTATTCTTCACTAGGATTAGTATGGTGTCTAATATAGATTGATATCATACCATTACAAGAATTTCATTTATTCCTCCTGCCCTTTTTTTTTTAAAAAAAAAAAAAAAACCTCACTCATTCTCCTTCTAAAGACATCCAGTCCTTCCCTCTGTGCATGGTCATCTGTATCTTGTAAAAAGTCTACCCCTACTGATTGGCGTATTATACAACCCATTTATGATATTCAAATCTGAGGCAGTTTGTCAAGTATTAGCCCTTTAAGAAATAAATATACACCAAGCCTGTGATTGTGTGTAAACTCTAGAATATTCCCAATGGACTTTCTGTGCTGTGGATCTGGGGGATAATGTCTGAAGAAAATGATGGGTTAAAAGGGCTCTTCATCAATAGGCAAGCACAGCATTGTCAGACTTGCTCTGGGTTTCAGAACTATCATCGCTAAATTAATGTCATTTTTTGGTTTGTTTTCTCATGATTTTTTGACAGTTTGAAGCACCCTTGGATATAACATTAAGTGACTCAGGATTTAAGTAAGTTACTCATTGATTACTGCTAATTCTTATAGACACTCGTGGGCAGAATGATTGCATTTATACCTAATTTATGGTATGCACATATAAGGACAATTCGATATTCTGTGTTTGTGTGTGTGTGACTTTTGATATTTCTGTCCTCCATAGGCAATATAAACAACTTATCAAGCACGAACACAGGGTTTTTCATGTAAAGTCAATCATATTGATTTTCGTAGCCATTTATTCCTATAGGATGTTTCAGTTTATTTTGATCCGTGGAAGTGCTCTTCTCCCTGTGATTCAATAAAAGGATTTGATGAATCAGAGCTACATTTAGAATCAAACATCAAACCCCTTCTCTTGTTGCCACCAAAGAGAAGGGGTTTGCAGTCAATCCACGTGTGGCTCAGCTGTCTGTTGCATTACTATTTGTTTTCCTTTTTACACCTTTACAAAGGTGAGCTTTTCTTCCCCCAGACTATTTTACATAGAGTAAAAACATGAACATTTTTGAAAAAATAGACACAAACCCACTAGTGCACGGAAGAAATGAAAGTCTTCTTGAATTAGAATAATGATAATCCTAAACTGTTCTATGTTTCAGTAGCTTTATTTCATCACGTATGAACACTCAGTTCTTACTTTGAAACTGTATATGCAGTACTCTACTTAAGAAAAAAAATTTTATTACTTTCAACTTCTGTTTTTATTTTTCTCCCTCTATTGCCAGGGCCATGCCATTTATGTATTTTTTATTAGTTTTATAGAACTTTTAAACAAAAATTAAAACATCTTAAATTTCTCAGGGACAAGTCTCTACTTCTGTGGGTATGTTATAGTGGTTACTATCCTTTATAAAGGAACTTTATTTTTTATTTAAAAAAATTCTTCTTATTAAAGTGTAGTTGACATACAGTATTATATTAGTTTCAAGTGTATGACACAGTCGATTATGCAATGCTCACTGCATTAAGTGAAAGAGGGAACTAATTTTTAAATGCATTCAGTTTCTTATCCTTTATGTCCTTAGACTTGTAAACTTTGGATGTGATGATCTTCAAGACGAAGAGAACTTATCCAAACACCTGACCCTGTGCGTTTTTACCAACCATACAGGTAGAACCAGGATTGTATTTATCAATTTATTCAACTATACTTGAGTTCTATAAAAAATTTAGTCATTTCCTTAGCCATATGGATCCTTAAAATGTAATAGAGCCACAGTCTTACTTAAGTGATCAGATGGATATTTATGTACCAAATTATCTTCTCCACTGCAGTTTTATATATTCTCCGTTTGTATGAAAGAAGCCACAGTCAGCAAGGTTATTGTTCTAATAGTTATTTGTATTTTTTAATAGAGGGGATAGATTCATATGTAATTGATCTACATTTTCACCTGCTCCATCTTTTAACAAATGGCATCCAATTACGGGGATGCTTTTTGTGTCAGGCTTACTGATATATTTGGTTCTAAACCTATGTACCTAGCTTCTCTAAGAACCATTCTATAACTTACTGAGCTAACAATCAAAGCTTGACATAAAGTTATTAGTGTACGTAACTGTCTACACAGTCAACTCTAATAACTAAATCTGATAGCCTTTTTAAATACCCTAGCTTGAGTGGACAGTTACCACTGATTAAGTAGCACTTGGAGTAAAACTGTATTCCTTTAAAGCCAAATTATGTGGTATTCACTAAGCCAATGTTTATGGAGACTTACTGTGCGCTATGTATTGGAGATAACAATGATGAGCAAAATGGACCTAATTTTTATTAGTACAGAGGTTATTGTTTGGAGTTTAGACATTAAATAAGTGCACACATAGTACTTCAAAAGAATCTTGATAAATTGTAGGAATTAGGAAGTTAGAGTATATAATGGAGACTTAATGGTAGACGCTAGTATCTTCAGATACATTCTAGTTCAGCTAGTTTATCCCTGTTGGTCTTACCCTCCAGGACATTGTGTCCCCATTCTGTCTTAGTCCTGAAAATTGTCCCCCTTGCTATCTCACTCCATTATCCATCCCATTTTTTCCAATTTCAGGCATAAAGTCCCTCCATAAACCAGTTTTGAGAGTTTAGGGAAGGAAATGATATTTCACTTGAGACTTGTAGGGTGTTTATGAAATAAGAACAGTGTGACTGAAGTAGAGTGAGCAAGCCGGAGAACACCATGGGTGAGAGCTGAAGAGTAGGCTTGAGTCAGGTAATGTAGGGCCTTGCAGACCATGAAAAATTTTATATTTTATTCTCAGAGTTCTAAGGTCATTAAAGGGTTTTTTTTTTAATTTTTAGAATGTTCAAGCATTACAGAAAAGTTCAAGAACAGAATGAACATTCATGTACCTTTTACTTAATTGTGTCATTTACAATATTTGCTTGATCATTCTCCCCATGCATAGGTACCACATTCTTCCTTTTGACTAAACCATTCAAAAGTAAGTTACAGACATCCTCACACTTTACCACTAAATAACAGCATGTATCTCCTTAGGTCAAGGACACTCTTTTACATAACCTCAGTTCCATTATCACTGAAAGAAATTAATCACACTAATAATAACTATTTCATATTCAAATTTCTATAATGATTTCAAAAAAGTCCTATTATGTGTATATTCTCTATGTGTATGTGTATGCATATGTGTTACATATATGTGTATGTATACCAATGAATAAATGTATGCATGTGTATAACTTTTAAAGTCAGGATGCCATCAAGACTTATGTATTATTTCTGGTTATTATGTCTTTGTCATCTGCTTTAATGTAGATCACTTCCCTCCCTCTATCCTCTACCCCCTTTGTTTTTCTTTCACAACATTGATATTTTGTTACCTTGTGGAATGTCCTACATTCTGGATTTGTCTAATTGTTTCCTTGTGGAAGTGTTTAACTTCTTCCTCTATCCTCCACATTCTCTGAAAATTGGTAGTTAGACTGAAAGACACCATTACGCATAGGTTAAAATTTTTTCGTAAGAACACTTCATGGGGTGATATTGTGAAATTTACTTGCACCAGATCAGGAGATGCATAATGTCAGGATGTTCTACTATTTGTGATGCCAAGTTTGGTCATTCAGTTACATGGTAACCACTGTCAATCTCCCTTAAAAAGGTACATTTTAATCTTTGCATGAGTAAACTGTGAAGTATTACTTTGGCACGGTGTGAATGCCCCATTCCCCAACAACTTTTCACATGGCACTCCTTGATGCTCCTTCACTGAAGTGTTTTAAGCAAGCAGTGATGTGATTAGATGTGTATTTGAAAGATCACTGGCTGCCGTGTGAAGAATGGATTGGAGGAGGCAAGAGAAAAAGTGGGGAGATGAGCAGTTAGGGTGAGGTTGTAGTCCTACATCTGGGTGGAGGATGGCTTGAACTAGGATGGGTGTCAGAGATGGTAACTAGATGGGTTTGAGATGCGTTTAGAGATAGAACTGAGAAGCCTTGCTGTCAGTTAGCTGGAAAGGAATGGTTCTCAGGTTTCTGGCATAAGCAAATGGGTGAATAGTGGTGCCATTTACTGAGGTGTAGTGGTTTAGGTGGGGCTTTGAAAGGGAGATGGTGAGGGTTGTTTTGGACATGTCAACTGAGAGATCTGGGACTTATAAGAGAGGTCAGAACGGGACATGAATAAATATGGAAGTTTTAAAGACTGTGGTGGGCATTTGAAGCCATGGGAGGAGTATAGGGTCAAAAGGGAAGAAACTTAGGAATAAGATCTGAGAAGCAAAATATATAAAGGTTGGGTGGAATATCCAAAGAAAAAGAAAAAAAGAATGGAGAGAAGAGGGGAAAACCAAGTGTTTTACTACAGCAGCCAAAGGCAGAGGGGGTTTCACAAAGGGGAAGGTGGCTAACTGTTAACAGGTAGTGAGAGGTGGAGTCTACCGGGCCTGACAGCATGAAGGTTAACGTGAGTACTTCGTGTTGGGTGACTGAGGAGAAATGTTGGTGGTGCTGGATGAAATAGCATGTGGGAGGTGTAGCCATGAGAGAGGCAGCAGCTAGAAGGGGTAGTAGGGTTTAGGGAATATTATTTTTGAAGATGGTAGAGACTCCAGTGTGCTTGAACACTTACAAGGCAAGAGAAAAGACGACAGTACACAGCAGATAGGAAGAACTGGTCGAGCGCATTTGCTGAGCAGGTGGGAGGTAATGGGACCCAGAGCTCGCGTGGAGGGACCCGGGTAGGTTCTTCCTACTTCACTTTAAATCTGTTGACTATAAACAGTCATTTTAGGCTTTCATTCTTTGAAGCTTTTATTCCTTTTCATTTTATTCCCATAGGAGTTTCTCATGAACAGTAGCAGCTAAAACTTATAAATGGGCGATCTGTGACATCAAATGTTAGGTTTATCTGCACGAGAGGTAGAAGAGTCTGTTCTTTCCTTTCTAAGCAATGTCTAGGAAAGTCGAAAATGAGCCTTTTGCTGTTCACAGTCAGCTCTGAACTCGAAATAAGCGGGTTCCAAATGGGATGCGTCCCTATTTAGGATGCAGCAAGCCAGAGAAGCAACCTTTTGGTTTTTAACCAATAAACTGTCAGCTCATGTATTTCCCAAATTGCTTTTTTTAAAAAATGATTTTTCACGAACTTTGTGGTTAAACAAACGAAAACCTGAAGTAGGAATGGAGAAGGGAGCAAATAGTCTAATCCCTGTATGGCTCCCTCTACACCAGAGAGCTTCATTTCCCGCGGGCGTGGAGACCAGAGAACATGGTTCATGAAAAAGGTGCTGACAGACTCAGGGTCTTAAACAAACGCAATGTTGCATCAGTGATGATGCTATCATAATATTTGATGTTCATTTGTCCCATATTGGTCGTTGGGAGCTACTTTGTCCTTTCAGCATTACTTGTTATTCTTGAAAGCATCTTTGTCCTGAATTTTCCTGCCCTAAGAAATGAAATCCCCGGGATGCCTGGGTGGCTCAGTCCATTAAGCGTCTGCCTTTGGCTCAGGTCATGATCTCAAGGTCCTGGGATCGAGTCCCGAATCGGGCTCCTTGCTCGGTGGGGAGTCTGCTCTTCTCCCTCTGCCTGCCACTCCCCCTGCTTGTGCACACGCTCTCTAATAAATAAATAAAATCTTAAAAAAGAAAGAAAAAGAAAGGAAGAAAGAAAGAAAGAAAGAAAGAAAGAAAGAAAGAAAGAAAGAAAGAAAGAAAGAAAGAAATGAAATCCCCTACCTTCCAAGGCATGAGAGGTTAAAATCTGGATGAGGGGGTTGCTCATGAGAGGCGATGGTGGGCAAAAGCTTCCGTATTAAGATTCAGTTTGTGCAGATTTTTAAAAATGGTTCCTAGCAGGAGGGTGAATCAGAGACTTCCTAAAGCAGTGAAGGGAAGGAAATATTCTTATTTCTGTCCCGTCTAATAATCAACCGTGCAGCTGCGCTTAAGTCAGTGGCTGTCATTCTTTCTTGTGCACCATCTACTGGGAGGTGGTGAGGGGTGAAAAGTGTACATTATCTTTCCTGTTCATATAATTGCAAGAGTTGCCCTCCACAAGTTCCCAGAATTAGTCCTGTGTTTTAGCATTTTATAGAGCCTTTTACAATGAGATAATTTCCCTTGGAAAACTTCGTCCATAATAGCTTTCATTGTCCAAATAGTTTCCCAAAGGCTAGCCAACTTTGAGATTTTATCTTCATCATTGATGAATATTTATTAAACATCTCTTTCTGGATACACCATTAAGAGCATGCTTTGTTTTTTCAAACTGCAACTTCCCCCAACTTGTAAATAGCAGCAAAATCATTCTGGAATAATAAGAATCACAGCTAACCTTTATAGCCAGATATAACTTCTTCAGCAGAGCTTTATACATATTATCTCATTTAATTCTTATGTAAGAACTATATGAAGTAGGTTCTATATTTTCTTTATTTACAGATGAGGAAACTGAGGTTTAGAGAATTTTATTAATTTGCCCCAGTCACATTATATTTATTTATTTTTTCAGTTTATTTTCTTATTTAAGTAATCTCTACACCCAACATGGGGCTCACACCCATGACCCTGAGATCAAGAGTCGCACATTCCACCAACTGAACCAGCCAGGCACCCTGCCCCAGGCACATTTAAAAAATATTGATGCCTGGGTGCCTGGGTGGCTTGGTCAGTTGAGCATCTAACTCTTGATTTCAGCTCAGGTCATGATCTCAGGGTCGTGAGATAGAGCCCCATGTCAGGGGCTTGGAGCATGGAGCCTGCTTGGGATTTTCTCTCCTTCTCCTTCTGCTCCTCCCATAGAGCCTTCTCTCCCTTAAAAAAAAACAAAAACAAAAACAAAAACTGATGCCTGGCTTGGATCTTACCTTCAGAGATTCTGGTTAAGTTGATCTAATGGGAAGCTTGAGAATCTGTGAGTCCCAGGTGAGTTTAATGTACTCTCAAAGTATGAGAAGCAGTGCTCCATTGGGTTGTCCGTTATGGTAGCCACTAGCTACATGTGGCCATTTAAGTTAATTAAAGTTAAATAAAAAAGAGTTCCTCAGTCACAGTAGCTACATTCTAAGTGCTCAATAGTCACATGTAGCTAGTGGCTACCAATTTGGACAGCGCATGTATAAAACATTTCCATTATCAAAGAAAATTCTATGGATGGGACAAGCTTTATAGAGTCTATGCACATCCCATGTCACCTTGCTATGTCTTTATCTCCCCCCGCCCCCACTTTGGGCTTGGGAAAGGGAATTAAGCCACAACCGAATTTGGAAATATTTGCTTATGAGGTCTAAAGATGGCTCTTGGTGTATGTAATTAGGTACATTTATTCTACACCTCACTTTAACTTTCTTCAAAACAAAAATGATGACCTCCATTCTCTAAAGGATGATATGTGGAGGAATGTGCTAGAATGGGGGATATAACCTTCTTTATGTTGTTGACATTTCATATTCATGTCTCAGGATAAATGCCTACAAGAAGAATTTGGGTCAACAGGCATGAATATATTAATCCTCCACAAAACTGTATTTCAGAGAGGTTGTACTAGTTTCCTCCTCTATTATTTGAGAATGCTCTTCCTACTGCTCCCTTAACAGAATTGATTATCATTTTAAAAACTATGCTAATTGGAAAGGAAAAATACGGTGCCTTTAAAAAATTTTTATTTTGTTATTACCAGAGCGGCTGAAGTTTTAACTATGTTTGCTAAATAGTTCTTTCTCCTTGTGATCGTAGAACATAAAAGAACAGGATGAACCAGTAGTTTTTTGCTGGTAGTATGTTTACTTTATGAAAGTAGTCCAAGTGGTACATGGAACTTTTTTAACTGTTATAATTACTATTTTTGTTTATGCTTTAGTATAGTGTTACTTTGATTCTTAGTGAGTCTGCTGTAATTTTAAAGAGAAGTTATTATTGTGTACTCAATAACCGTAACAGTAATTTTACATCTAACAGAATTGTTACTATTTTTACCTGATAAAATTTTTCTTTTTTTTATTATTTTCCATCTAAGATACTGCAATAAAATGTACTTCTAACAATATGGTGCGGTTTTAAATGTTAGTAAAAATGGTCACAAAGGATAAACATTATAACAGAATGCTCATTAATGTCCTTAAATAGCCTTCTTAGAGAAAAATGGGCTTTTTTTTTTTTTTTTACTACCATGATTCTTTGATAAAGGACCTAGTGTAGTATAACAGAGGAAATATTGCTATTCACTGAAGTAGAGTAATGATTGAATTCACACAGCTAGTTAATTTTAGCTCTGGGACTAGAACCCAGCTTTCTAGACCCTGGTCAAGTTCCTTTCCACCCTGGAAATCTCCTGTTTCAGGTAATCACATAAATGTTAGCACTAGAAGTATCAGTTTCGGCATAATGCCCTCCATGGTAGGTCTTTGATGAGCTTATCTAGTCTACATATCTAGCAACAGCTGCTAGAGATGATGGACATATTCCACATTGGACTGTTCGTCATATTCTAGAGGAGGTGAAGGCTGAGAGTGTTCTGGAGTGATGGGGTAAGTGAAGGTGGTCAGGGCTCATCTGGAAAAACCACTTTGTGCCAGGAGTTCTTTCCTTTGCACTTGGGCCAAGGTTCTCAGTGACCCAAATATGGGTGGGTGTGGGCCAACACATACTTGCTCTTATTGCCCCAGTTTGCCTTCCAATTCTAGATAAAAAAGGAGACTGGAAACTGTCTGTAAAGAGGATACACATTTTGGTAAACCAGGGTCTATAACTATTGGTAATGGCCAGAAGGCAAGCTAAATAAGAGAGCAGGGCAATATGTGTATATTAGGAGAATCTCTTTTGTAAACTCCTCTAGACTCCCATGATTTCGTATGCAAGAGTGTATTTCTATTCCTTTTCCTATTCTTCAGTAGCTTACCACAGTGCGTTACTTATGTGTGTGCTGAGTAATTGTTGAATTGAAATTTCTTAGCAGCTTGTTAATAAACCATTTTTAGAATTTGGATATAATCTATGAGGTAAGTTGAGGCAGAACATCTAAAGCAAGAGAAGTAAGGTTAAGTGGCTTAGGAAACTTTATTTGTCTATGATTCTTTTCAGCTCTACTAAATAATACCTTCTTACTTCTAGGAACTTTGTGTGTATGTTACAGTCCGAAGTTTGACTCTTGGGAAAAAATCACGTATTCAGTGTTTTACTTTCATAAAGGTACATGTCATTTATTCTTAATTTTTTATTTTTACCTAATCACTTTTTCCAAATAGTAGCAAGTTACATAAATTTTAAAGTCCTACTACCTTGTAATAAATTTTATCAGTACATTCTATACCTGTATGCCTATGTAATACATGTTTCCTAGAAAAATTCACTAATGATGAATACAGTTAACCCTTGAACCACATGGAATTAAATAGCACAGATCCTCTTACATTCAGGGTTTTTAAAAAAATACAGTATAGTACTGTGAATGTATTTTCTCTTCCTTATAATTTTTCTTAATTACATTTTTCTTTTTCTTTCTTTTAATAACATTTTTCTTTACTGTGAGAATACAGTACACAATACATACAACATATAAATTATGTGTTAATTGACTGTTTATGTTATCAGAAAGGCTTCTGGTCAGCAGTAGGCTCTTCGTAGTTAACTTTTGACTCCCCAAAAACTTACATGTGGATTTTTGACTGCTCAGGGGTTTGCACCCCTAACCTCCCTGTCGTTCAAGGGTCAACTGTATTGAGTTAGCTAATATTTTTATATTATTTTCCCGACCTGTATTTTTTTCTAGGCCTGTAGGTAGACCAATCCTTATAGACATATTTGTCCAAAGTGTGTTTGTTTGCTTTTTTATTATTACAAGTTGGAAAACATCAATATATTTAACTTACAAGGTCACATAGAGTTTTAGTTAAAAGCTTCCATCAGCTCAGATCTCAACAGGTCCTAGACCTAAAATACCTTTATTTCGATTCCCACATCTGCAGCCCAGGAAACTGATTTGTCAGCAGTCAGCCTACAGGGACAAGTGCCCAAGCTATTCTAGTTCTGTAGTTGGCCAGTGTGCCCTTTAATAGTTTTAGTCTGAACCGTGCTAAGGCACATTTATTTTGCTTGTTTAGTTCCTTAAAATTACTATTTATGTAGTACATACTGTGGGTAGAATTAATTTTTTTAATTAAAAAAAAAAACAAACCATGCCAGCCCACAGCAGAGTTTATTCTGCAGGAGTGCCTAACAGTATCTTCAGTAGTTAGAAATCTACATGAAAAAGGTTTAACAGCTCAATAATGAAGTAGACATGCTTTAATAGCATAAGTTGGATTTTTCTTTTATGGAAAGTTTTCATACATTTTTCTAATGATTAATATAATGGTTAAAACCATAAATAAAAGTTTAATGAAAGTTTTATTAAGGGTTACTAATTCTGATGAAGAGTTAGAAAAGTGGAGAGTGAAACCCAGTACATTGATTTAGCTGATAGTCTACTGCCCTTCTAAATGACTGAGAGAAGTCCCAGAAGCTCTTAACGACGACAAGAACATGAGGTAAACCATAAGGGCCAGTGAGCCACCTGGTCTCTTCCATCTCTTGGATCTTGTAGATTCCTTCAGATCCTTCTGTCTCTGCACAACCCATCTTATCAGGTCTAATATTATACAACAAGCCCAGAACAACGATTGGATCCTGATTGCACTGTAATCTACCTTCTGTGTGGGCTTTTAGAGAATGATAGAGAACCTTGAAATCTGGAAGTCAGAGACCCTTGCTAGGTCAGTCTCACAGCTCGTAAAGGTTAAGAGTGTTACATAGGGCAATAGCCTTGGGTGGAATTACGGCTCTTTGTTTCTTACCATTCTTTCCTGGGCTTCCTGTTCTCTCTCCACAGGGCACAGCAAGACCTTCACTGCTGCTCTTGGGAGTGTTGACTCACACGTGACTAAGGGCCTTACTTTTCTCAACCTTGGTGAGTGAGAGAGAGATGCATCTCTCTGCTCTGACCCTCCTTTCGAGTACATGTAATACTCAACCTTTTATATCTCATTTTCTTATCTGTGCACCCCATTTTCTCCAGCCTCTGTAGGACTTGGATTGTGATGACAACCACTGACCTTTTTGAAGCCTGAGAGGGGAAGGTTTTCTCTGGAAACCTTAGCACCCCTAACTTCTCTGTTGTTCAAGGGTCAACCGTATTGTTAGTTAATATTTTCATAATATATTTTTTCCTGACCTATATCTTTTTCTAGGCCTACAGACCAATCCTAATGAACATATTTGTGTCCCCCATTCAGATCAGCCTTTTGGGGAGGGGATGCACCTCCCTTTTTAGAGAAGCTAGGCTGTGAGCTTTCCTATGTTTTTAGTAGTAATCCTAAAAAGCCATTTGTTAGTATAAAAATGATGACAGGGGTGCCTAGGTGGCTCAGTCGGTTAGGCATCTGCCTTCAGCTCAGGTCATGATCTTAGGGTCCTGGGATCGAGCCCCATGTCCTTCTTCCCTCCCCCACCATGCCCCCACTTGTTCTCTCTCTCTCTCTTTCAAATAAATAAATAAATAAATAAATCTTTAAAAAAAAAATGATGCCAGTGAATGGGTTGGTCCCTAAAAGCCTATGAGAAATAATACATCATGTTGTCCCTTGATTCTAGAGAGGACAAAGTTCTTTGAGAAATTGCCCATTCCCTGTTGCTAATTGCTAAGAGCTTCCAAGTCGTATAAATGATTTAGGGATCAGCTTGAATGTGTTGATTTTCATTGAGTAAATATAGTAAGGGAACTTGAGTGTTAGGTTTGAACCTATTAATGGAGTCTATAATGAAGAAAATCAAGAAAGGGTTTATTGTACCAACCTACCAAAAGCTGCTTTTCCATATCAGTTGGGATGAGGGGCACAAACAGGTTAGCACAAGACTAAGTAACAGAACTATTACTTGCCCACCTATGGGACATGGCACAATATTCAAAAAAGAAAAACTTCAGGTTTAGAGCACGTGATTCTTTAATATGTTTTCCTATTCCTGTTCCCCAGTCTGTCTACTATCACGATAAAGGTTTAGGAAGGTGTGGTATGAGGGATCTGGGCGAAATGAGAACGAAAATGATAAAGTTCATAAAAAAGATTTTTCTTTTGAACAATACTATAGATGAGGTGAGATAGCGAATGCTGAGTGGGCCAGTATGTGGTAAATGTTAACATGAGCTTTGAACCTGTGGGAAATTGCCTTAGAGAGGCCTGATTCTACGGCTTCCTGTGGTAAGAGAGATAAATATAAGGTTTCCTGGGTCTGAGACTTGATTCTTATCAGAGAATGCTACATCAACATCCCATCTCCAGAGTGATGTGGGAAACTTTCCACTAAAAAAAAACTTAGCATTTTGTGAGGTCAAAGATAGCCTTCCTTTTTTTCCCCCTGAGAATGACTCTAGAAAAGGGCAGGCATGATTTAATCTATGGTCTTCAGACTGTGGAGTCGGCAGAAATCCTAGAGCTTTGTAAAATAGGCTCTTGCATAAGTTATGTTTCCTTCCTATATGCATTTTATCTTCTTGGCACAAAATTATACCCAAGATTAAAACTAGGTAATTTTTATGACAACAGTATTGCTTTTTGAGTGATGTCTTTTTTTCCTATTAATTGCATGCAATTGTCCTAAATTGTCACCCTGTTAAAAGGGACTTATATTGATTAAAATATTAAAAAAGAGAGTTTTGGAGAAGTTTTCCATAAACCCAAATACCTCTATATAAGAAAGATATGTTTGTTAATAATAACCTACTATTTTAAAAATGAATACTATATGCTAAGCATGTTGTTTCGGTTATCTTGATCCTTACAACAATCCTGCTTGGTGATGTTATCCTCATTATACAGATAATGAAACTGAGGCTCAGAAAGGTGTGTGCCCAGGCTCCTTTTGGTGTTTCTTATCAGAGGCACTGTGTTAGTTTCTTACTGCTGCTATAACAAATTATCACAGATTTAGGGCTTAAAACAACATAAACTTTGTCTTTTGGTTCTGGAGGTCAGAATTCTGAAATGAATTTTGAGGGGCTAAAGTCAAAGTGTGGGTAGAAATGGTTCCTTCCGGATATTCTGGGAAGGAATTCATCCTTGGCCTCCTCCAGCATCTCGATGCTAGCATTTCTTGGTTTATGACCACATCACTCCCATCTCTTTCATCCTTGCATGATCTTCTCCTCTGTAGTCCACTCTCCCTCGTCCTCCCTTCTGTAAACATATTTATGGTTACATTGGGTCCACTTGAATACCCCAGGATACTTTCCACATCCCAGGATCCTTGATCCCATCTGCAAAGTGCCTTTTATCACTTCAGGTAACATATTCACAGGCTCTGGGATTAGCACATGAACATCTTTGAGGGTCATCATTTGGCCTACCACAGGCACTGTTGACGTTTTTGATGAGACAGTACTTTTTGAGTGAGAGTGTCCTGCACATTGAGGGTTTTAATGACCTTCACCAAATGGCAGGAGGACTCCCCCTTCCACTCCAATGATTGCGACAACTCAAAACACCCTCATATATTTCCAAATGCCTCCTCTCCCAGGGATGTAGTTACCACCCTAGTTAACTGGTTAAATGCTAGGGCTAAGAATTAATTTAGGTCATTTGATGCCTAAACCCTTTCCACCATACCCTATTATATCATTATTTGTGTTTTTTTACTTAAGTGTTGCCGTAATAAGAATATTATTGCAGCCATTTGTGCTACTTGCTTTTTTTTTTTTTAAGATGTTATTTATTTATTCAACAGAGAGAGAGAGAGACATAGAGAGGGAAGGAACACAAGCAGGGGGGGTGGGAGAGAAGCAGGCTTCCCGCTGAGCAGGGAGCCCAACACAGGGCTCGATCCCAGGACCCTGAGATCATGACCCGAGCCGAAGGCAGACAATTAACTGACTGAGCCACCCAGGCACCCTGTGCAACTCGCTTTAACATCACTTAATTCCCGGTGACCAAGAGGACACTTACTTAAGTCAACTGCTTTGAGTTTTACATCCTCTTTCCTTTCCTTTCCATTCCACTGAATGCCTTCTATGCAAATGATTAGCATGTATTTCTTTGCTTCTTAGGAAAAAAGAGTCCAGCTGGCGCACTTATAATCTAAATGTGTCATCTGTATGAAATTCACTGCTATTGTGTGAAAAATTATTGGCAAGGGCTACTTCCACCTTCCCATTCTCCAGAAATTTTTACACCTTATCTCAATCTGTGTACAAGTGTTTTTGGTACAAAATTATCAAATGCAGGTACTGTGAAGGTGTGAATTCTCGGCAGCTCGCTATGCAAGGAAATATATTAGTATTTCGTCAAGTGTGAGATTACATAAAACAAGAGATTGTTTTGATGAATATCAATTTAAGGGTTCTCTAAACAAAATGACGATGACGATAGTGATGATGACGACGAGTGGGCAAACATAGGAAACAAAATTTTAGAGCTCCCCCCAACTGGCAGAAATGAGGAGGGAAATTCCCATTATAAGCTATTCCCAGACTATCAGATAAAGGAATAATTCATATTGCTTGGTATTTTTTTTTTTCTAATTTGCTTTCAGAGGTCATTTAAGTTCATATAAAGCCACAATTCACTTAGACTCAAAATTACACATATCAATTAAGATAACCATGGCTAAATGTATGAAGAAAACTAGCAACAGATAGAAATAAATGAGACCTGGCTAGTAAGATGAAATGTACTAACATCAGACAGTTTAGTATCACGTTGATCAAAACTTTTGTGTTTTAAGAAGTTCAAAGACAAATAGGGATACTGTGAAGTTCTGGGCTTTCTCTTTGTCTGTGCAGCTCTTGCCACATGCAGATAAATTATATCTTCCTCGTCTACAGATTATTATGTGGCTGTTTACTTACCTGGTCATTTCTTTCATCTACTCAACATCCAACATCCGGACCTGATCTGCCACAGTTTGTTTCTGACAGGTATTGCTGTGGTCTTTCCCTCCTGAACGTGGCCCATTTGGATTTGTCTTGGCACTGTTTGTATTTGGGTGAGGGTGAGTGGAGTTTCTTTTATTTGCTGATCTCCTTTTTTTTTTTGGCCAGGAAACAATGAAGTGGTCGATATGCTACCTCATAGCCCTTTACAGTCACTCTCAGGGTCCCTGGTACTGGATTGGTGTTCTGGAAAGCTCTCCAGGGTGGTCCTCAACCAGTCGTACTTACTACAGTTCCTATGGAACACGCAGCTCGACTATGAGAAGATGGGCGCGTTGCACTGTGTGCTCTCCTGGGGCCGAGACCCCCCGTTCCTGGAAGCCAAGGTGGTGATGTAGCTTCAGTTTAAAAACTGGCAAATAGACAACACCAGCTGTATACATTTGTGGTTGAAAGGAACAGATGCCATTTTTGTTTGGTAATAATTAATCGAAGTGTATGGTCTCCATCCTGATTTGAACATACTCTCTTCTTGTGCTTCTTTTTTATGGACCCCAACCAAACCTCAGACTGTGAGCATGTCTGTTCTTTTGACTACTCTCTTTTCCATACTGTGCATACACATTAGCCGTATCAGTAACATTCCAAGAAAGTGCTCAGTAAATAGTAGTTTCTCAAATACCTACTTTTGCTCCTGGTCTGTATTTGGTGTGTAGCATCAAAAGAACTAAAATCTGGTGGCATATATTTATTACATTTTAATGAAGATAGTTTATATTTATATTTATATTGCACAATTTAATTTATGAAGCACTTTCACATGTTTTGTCATTTAGTTTTACAGCTGTCCTGTGAAGTTGGAGAAACCCCCCTATTAGACTTGATTGGGACCAATGGGTGGTTGGGTAATTGAAGAAAAGATATCTTAAACATTTTATTTTAGCCTAAAACCAAAAAAAAAAAAAAAAAGTACATTTATTCACCTATCTTTTGATGTAGATTAAGACTCTTTCTTTGTATATTAGCTGGTTGGAGTTCAAAATCATTTTTCTTTCTTTTTTTATTTTTTATTAACATATAATGTATTATTTGTTTCAGGGGTACAGGTCTGTGATTCATCAGTCTTACACAATTCACAGCGCTCACCATAGCACATACCCTCCCCAATGTCCATCACCCAGCCACTTCATCTCTCCCACCCCTCTTCTCTCCAGCAACCCTCAGTTTGTTTCCTGAGATTGAGAGTCTCTTATGGTTTGTCTCCCTCTCTGGTTTCATCTTGTTTCATTTTTCCCTCCCTTCCCCTATGATCCTCTGTCTTGTTTCTCAAATTCCTCATAGCAGTGAGATCATATGATAATTATCTTTCTCTGATTGGCTTATTTGGCTTAGCATGATACCCTCTAGTTCCATCCACGTTATTGCAAATGGCAAGATCTCATTTTTTTGGCTGCCTAATATTCCATTGTGTGTGTATCCCCACATCTTCTTTATCCATTCATCTGTTGATGGACATCTTGGCTCTTTCCATAGTTTGGCTATTGTGGACATTGCTGCTATAAACATTGGGGTGCATGTACCCCTTCGGATCACTACATTTGTATCTTTGGGGTAAATACCCAGTAGTGCAATTGCTGGGTCGTAGGGTAGCTCTATTTTCAACTTTTTGAGGAAACTCCATACTGTCAAAATCATTTTTCTTACATAAAACCACTAGTAATGTGCTGTCTCTGACTTCCTATTACTTTCTTCTTCTCCCTTTTTTTTCTTAATCTTACTTTCTTCTTTCTTTTAACCTAAGGAGAGCCATATTTTAAAGATCCTTTCAAAACCATCCGTATCTATTGGGCAATTTTTTCTAATCTTTTACAGTTGTCTCACATGTAGTTTTTTTTAGTGAGTGTTTTGGACATGACTTTGAGTCTTTCCGAAGCATTCAACTTTTATTGACCAAACAACACTCTTTTTGCTTCCATATTTCACTCGTCTGTGGTAATATTTTATTAAATTACCTAATTGTGAAGATAAATACAACCAGCATGAATAGGCTTAGAAATAAAAACAACCACTTATTGGGACGCCTGGGTGGCTCAGTTGGTTAAGCCACCTGCCTTTGGCTCAGGTCATGATCCCAGGGTCCTGGGACAGAGCCCGGCATTCTCCCTCTGTCTGCCGCTCCCCCTGCTTGTGCGCTTTCTCTCTCTCTGACAAATAAATAAAATCTTTAAAAAAAAAAAACCCACTTATTTATTGGTAGGAGCAGAAATGTGAGAATGCTCTGTGGCTAGGTAAGCCTCATAGTGTCTAAGGCTGGGAACAAGAAGTTTCAGTCCTCCAGCAGGTGAGGATGGTTGTGGAGACTGAGTTGTTGTTACAACATACCCTTGGGAGGACCATACAGTGATGCTCACGAAGATTAAGCGGTGTGCCAACGTTCACACTGATGTCTGAGCTGGACTCAAACCCAGGTCTGCTGCCTTCGAGCTTTGGGGTGTGATTTGGTTTGGTTTTCTCCTGTATCCACCAGCTCTTCACACTGGTACTTTGCTATAACATGACCTACTCTAGCAAAAACAAACATGGGGTTGAAGAAGTCTTATTTGGATTTCGGACAAGGGCATTTATTAAAAAAAGATATGTAAAATGGACCTGATTTATAAGATGGCTTAAGCCACAGTCTTGCATTATGTGCCTTGAAGGGAAGTGAGTATATTCTTCGGCAGTTCCAAAATAGATACAGAATTTTAAAAGATTCACATACATTTTGTACTTCTTTGGTGGTGGGGACAGGGTGCAGATGTAAATACCAACAGATTTGTCTTCTTACTTTTTAAAGATTATTCAGTGGATTTCTGAGAATATCTCTGCCTGCCATTCATTTGACCTCATTCAGGAATTTATAATTGGTAGGTGTTGCTGATGGTGCATAGTAAGTTGAATCCTTGACCGTTTTGCTGGAGGGAAAGCAGCAAATTGATAATGCCTCAACCTGTCAAAATGTTGGTTAGAAGCATTTCTTTTTTTTTTTACTCTATTTCAGTCACAGCTAATTAAATTTCGTTCTCTTGTGGTCTTGTGAGAAGCTACGACGGTTCGGAGACTGATGAGATACATTCTCTAACCTTATTAGTGATTTTTTTTTTTTTCCCCAGTAAGATATAAAAAACTTTCTTAGTTCAGTTTCTGTGTAAAGTGGAATAATGTCATTTTGGGTTAGATAGAAGTGCCAAATAATTTTTTTTTAAATGATTCTCACTGTAAAGAGCAGAACTTGAACGTTTCATAAAGGTAGAACCATAATGGTTAGCCTTTTGAAGATAAGGATAAGGCAATAAAAACTTTTGGGGGGTTTGCTTGTTTTGGTGAATTACAGTGTCTACTGCCTTATTCTTATTAAACCATGTCTTTCTTTCTTTTTTTTTTTTTTCTTTCAAAAATCTACTCAGCTTCTTCATATTGGAGCATATACCCAGAGACAAGTAACATGGATAAACTTTTGCCATATTCCTCAGTGCTCACTTGGAATACAGTAAGTTAACACTTTGTATTATGTAACTAAAATTGATTCACAGTTGTGGGTCCGTTGTAGGACATCCCTGTCACAGTACCCGTGGCTGTGATTTCATTTGTTTATTTTGACTGATAAGGATCTGAGTTGGAGATTCCTGGCAGAAAAATAATCGTGAATCCTTGCTGTTAGCCAGGTAGTGATATAAAATAGGAGAATTGAAGGAGAAGGTACAGGATATGTGTCACAAGCAGAATGAAACCTCTGTCATCTTCAAATGGTATTTTTTTTTTAGCAACTAGAGAGGATTAAAATATTCTTATAAACCTAAGGAATGGCCGGACCACTGCTGTTGTTGTAAGCTCTTCTATTTCCTAAGTAGATTGACCCCTTTTCCCAGCCTCATAAGGAAAGTCTGTAATAGCTGTAGAGCCTCAAGATCAGTAAAAGTTAGTAATCTTAAGCAAATTCACTCCATTCAACCTTTTCTTCCTCTTGGCCCTTGCTCCCAGTTTTTCAATTGGGAGGTGCTGAGCTAAAATTTTGTTTATTTTCTCTAGAACATGGTGCAGTAAACTGAGATTTGTTGGATCAGAAAGTGAAAACCCTGAAAAAGGTTTCAGGCTGCCCCAAAAAAGGTTTCTTCTTTCATACTTAGATGTTAGAACTACATGCTTAGTCTTGAGGCAGAGGTTTATATCAAGAAGGCATTTAGAAAAATAAATTGAATTTAGATAACACAGACATCGGAAAATAAGTACTGGGATAAATTGTGACACTTGCCCATTTTGTATTTAGACTATTTAAATAGAGGCAGGTATGTCTGATTAATTTCTAAATGTTCGGTATGCACAGCGGTAGTGTTTTCCTAAAGACCCTTTTGTCTTTTACCGTTAAGGGTTTTTAAATGTTCTTGCCTCACTGTAGAATAACAAGGGAAAGATGAGCTCATTTCGTCTCCAAGCACTGTTTGCTTTGAGAACTCTTGTGAATATACATGCAGCGTCTATGGTGATGTGGCAGGAAGTTTGCGGGTTAAACCACGGGTAGTCAGGAAATGCACCTCTATGTTTCCTTCCCTCACCACCCAGCCCTGTTATCCTCCAGTTCAGTGTCTGGGAGGAGGGGCCCGGGAACCCCTCTAGTTTCCAGAGTTGTGTTTAAAGATGGAGCACGTGTTAACTGGATGGCATGTGAGAGGCTCATCTGGAGAGGCAATTCCTCACTTTTGCATTTCTCATGACTGTGGGGTGGAGGAGCGATTGTAGACCTCCAGAGTGATGTCAGGAAGTCCTATGAGAGTTAATATAAAAAACCCACAGTTCTAACCACCATCTACTGAGCTTATTTTAGGGTTTACCACGTTGCTCTAAACTTCAGGGTGTTGGAGTAGGTTACCTTAAAGGTCTCTTCTAATCCTGAAATTCTGAGTCCCTGCTTCTCTTTAGCAATGATGTAAATCATTTGCCTTTTCTTTTCCTAATCTACAAATGCTCTTATTCCTACACCTTAATAAACACTTGCCAGAATAAAAAATATTAATATCATAAAAAATATTAATATCATACTTCTGTGTGGAGACAGATTATTTCTGTAAATAACTGAATTGGATTTTTTTTTAAGATACTAGAACATATAGTGTTCTTTCATATAAATAATCCTGAATTATGCTTTGCAAACAATTAGCCTTGTTATTCCTATTTTAAGACCTAGAGCTGTAATGAATTTTAATGCTTTTTTGAAGTGTCTTCTCTTACCGAGTAGTGATAAGTGAAACACAAAATATATTCTTAACACAGACTTTTTGTGGTCACAGTGGACAACTCGGTTGTTTGAATATTCTGGAAACTTATTTCTACATTGCTGTGGTGCCCCTTTCCACAGGAATGTTGTATATCAGTAAAAATCTAGTACATTTAAGTTCTAGACAAATACAAGATTTTATTTCTACAGTACACTTTCTAAATTATTTTCTCATGTATCATCTACCTTTTTTTTAGAAAATAAAAGATGAATTCACTAGCTGAGAGGCTAATCTACACGGTTAATATAGAAACACACTTCCAAAATGACTGAATGAAGGGCCATTTTGGAAGTTTATATTTTTATTGTAATTTTTGTTTTAATGCTCACAATGTTATAATTCGGATTTCCTGACATGGATTGTACATCTTTCGTATTTGCCATGGTGATACTGCTGCATCAGCTCTTTATGGGGATCTTTTATTTCTGGAATTATGGTAGAGGACGAGGTGAAGAAGAATTTTGACTAGGGCGCCTGGGTGGCTCAGATGGTTAAGCGTCTGCCTTCGGCTCAGGTCATGATCCCAGGGTCCTGGGATCGAGTCCCACATCGGGCTCCCT